TCCTAGGTGTATATGACTTTCTTCTTTCAGAGGAATCCAGTCGGAGTTATATTAAAAATTGTCTTTGATCTTTCAAGCTGTTTCATGGCACTCAGCAGGTGTTGCACATATAAGCCAAGAGGAGACTGGTTTTCTTTTGCTAAAGTAAGGAAACTTTGCTTCTTTTGCTCCTGTTAACAAACGTTGGTTTTCACGAGACTCACTGGCGCATGCGCAGCACTGACCTCCATACGTCATGCTCCCGGAACTGCTTCCGTTTACAACAGTGAGCGCAAGCTAGATTCAAGTGATTATTACGTTTTGAATATGGATATTTTTCTTACAAAAACGCATCGATTCGCTACAGAAGGCCTTTGTTCACCCCCCGGAGCCGTGTGAGACATTTTTTTTTTTTATGGATGTGCGCATTTTAATTATGTGCTTTTGGACTGATGCATGCAACACCTGCTGAGTGCCATGAAACAGCTTGAAAGATCAAAGACAATTTTGATATAACTCCCGACTGGATTCGTCTGAAAGAAGAAAGTCATATACACCTAGGATGACTTGAGGGTGAGTAATTTATGGGCTAATTTTAAATTTTTGGTGAATTAACCCTTTAATAATATGTTTTAGTTATATAGTATACTTCCATAAGCTCAAAAGGTAGCTTTACAGTCAATATACAATTAAAGAACAGTCAAATAAAAAAAAAAATAATAATAATTTTTTAATATTTACTTTTATTTAATATATCTTTGCTCTTTTTAATTGTGCATTTTCATTACATTGCTTAAGGGTGCGTTCACACTTGTAGTTTGGTTCGTTTGGTCTGGACCAAAAAAGAAAAAGATACATTTGGTCCTGGTCCGCTGAGCGTTCACACTGGCATTTTTGTCAGCGAACCTAAAGATACTGAACCTAAATGCACAGTGATACGTTTTAAGTCATAAATTTCAAAATAAATTTGATTTGTATTAGTTATCTATTTTAGTTTTAGTTACAGTTGTAGTAATGTTGTCATTTTATTAGTTTTTTATTATGTCTATATAGGTTTTTTATTAAGTTTTAGCATTATTTAATTTGTTATTTCAGTACTTCAACATACAAAATGGAAATGAAATATATATGTACATGTATATGTATATGTGTGTGGTTGTACATACACATATGTAGTTGTTTTTTGGTGTTTGGCTTAGTGTTATGTTAGAATCATTATTATACTCATACCTTTTGTTCTTTTAATATTTTGAATTGTTTTTAGTTTTATTTTTTGTTTTCATTTAAATGTTTAATTTTGAAATGTTGTTTTTATTTAATTTCTTTTATTTTTTTTAATGTGTATATATATATATAGTATTTGTAGAGTTTTAGCTTTTAGTTTTAATTACTTTTTCTTATTTGTAAGTTGCTTTGGATAAAAGCGTCTGCTAAATGACAAAGTAAAAGTAAAGTAAGTCGCTTTAAGTCGAACACACCTAATGCCATCTACTAGACTAAGCGCGCTCATTGCAGCGTGTACTTATGTTTTTATTTTCACCAACTGTGAACTCACGAAGAGCTCGTAAAAGGCACTTTACCACATCGTTGCTCCACGTTTGCCCTCTGCTCATTTTGTTTTGGTTAAACCGCTCGTTCCGCGTCGTTAAATCATGTCGCATAGCGTCGCATCTTGTCATTACTTCCTGTTTTTGGTTCGTTTAGAAGTATTTGGTCCGTGTTGCGTTCATATTTCATTCGAACCGCACCAGGGTTCGTTTGGAAGCGGACCGAGAACCATCTTTTTAGCAGTCTCGGTCCGCTTGTTTGGTGCGCACCAGGGTTCGGATGGCAGCATTCACACTACCCAAACGAACCGCACTAACAGAGCACTCGCACCAGGGTTCGTTTTAATTGAACCAAACATGACAAGTGTGAACACACCCTAAGATTACTATCAGCATTCAAAATAAACTCAGGTATCGCATACTGGTTCTCTATACTCACATGGAGTTGTGACACTGCACATCTCTATGGTAGAGGCAATGTGGCCAGACGGTCTTCCTTCTGGATTAACAAATATTCTCTCTTCTCCTGTGACCAGATCACATGGCACTCCCTAATAGGAAACCATACATAGCAGCTCTAACATTCACAACTAATGTGTAATTACATTAAAAACCAAAATAACCTAGTCTGAGGAATGAAACTCACTGCGTCATTACTCTTCTCATAGATTTCATGGGCCAGCAGCTTTAGCGGTCCACAGTAAACTCCAGACTTGGCTGCTAGGAATCTCTGGATGGCATGATAGGTCTTCCCACTGTTGGTGGGTCCTGCATGAAAAACAATCTTTCTTTGGATAGCCCTGGCCTCTGGATACCTGTAACACACATTTATCATGTTCAGAAGATTTTTTTGGTAAAACAATATGTAATAGTGTAATGACTAATTCACAGTAGAGTGCAATAAAACTTTAGAAAGTGCAGATGAGAAATCTGTCAAATCTGTGGATGAAACTCTCAGTACCAGTTTGCTGGGACCCGTAGGTCACTGATCTTGCGTAAATCATCTATACAGTCCAACATAGGAAAAATCTGTTTGGCATGTCTCATAAAGTATGGGAAGATGTCATCTATGTGACCTGGAATGAGGAAAGGAAAATGATAGATTTGGGGTTTTCTAATGGATATTGACAGTTTAGTATATCTGATGTAAATACTCACCAGCTCCACAACAGATGTCACTAAGAATAATATGCAAGTCAGCATTTAGTGAGTTCATTTCCAGCACATATTTCCTAAAACTGACAAACACTTGATGAAAGAGACGAGCTGTTGAAGAACAATTATACAACGATCACAAAAATGCTTTGTAACAAACAAAATACAGTAGTATTCCTGACATACTTTTATGTGCATAGTTTTTAGATGGGCTTGCAGTTATAATAACACAATGTGCTGGGTGTGGCTGACAAATATAATGTTAATTATGTAAGATCATGTAGTAATAATGGGTCCACGATTCTTACCGTCAAGCCCTTGGTCAGCAGCCAGTTTTTGCATCTCTTTTCTTTTGTAGAATCTATTCAGTACCTTCAGAAGTTCACCTGTTAAAACGGATAAATAAACAACGATCAGATGTATTTCTGATAACAGTTATAATCGAGTATTCTAATTTCATCTGCATGGTCAAATCTATAGTTTAGTTTCATATAATTATGTTGAATGAGGTATATTTAAGATACATTCAGATGCAAATATGAATGCTCAGAACTTAAAGTGAATCATCTATAAATCGATGATATACTAATAACATAACACGGTCTTTACTTTTGTCCAGCGGTTGCGTCAACTCCTCGCCGACTACGCCGTCCGCGACTTCATCGCTTTTGACGGTGAGCGGTACAAACAGGGATGTGTCCAGGGGTCTTGAAAAACTGTTTGAAGATGAATGTCTACTTGATACATTTTCAAATGTCCTTCTTGTTGGATGCAGTGTAGTGTTGTTTGCTACAGCAGCTGTGCTAGCACATACCCGGTATCGGATGTGAGAGCGCGACAATAAGTAAACACAGCGATGTACCGACATTTTTAGAGTGCACTTGGTCGAACAGAATAATAAAAATGGACAGTCGCGGTCGCACAATTTATATTATAACCTTCATGTTAATAAACTCTGTATAGTTACAGCAACAGTACCAGCACCTATGATGACAAGGCCCCCAAGGAGGTCAAGTTCGTCTCAGTGACAAAACGTGCAGAAGGACCCGAGATTTGTTTTGGTGCCCGAAGTAATGCCTGTATTTTTATTTCACTATTGAGTCAAGTGTTAAAGTCAAGATTAGAAAGATTTAGGGAACCGATTACGAGTGTATTATAGACTGTGATATCAAGAGAATACGTTTGCTATAACATTCGAAATCTTTTAAATATTTAAAGCATAAACGAAAACTACTTAGGGATATGACCGACAGTACACATGTGGTACAAACAGTTGTAAACAGGATTGTTGATTTCAGCGCAAACGAAACTCGTTTGAATGACTTTTTTTTTTAAAGCTCACTTATGTAAAGCAAACAAACAAAAAACAGCAAATAAATGACAAAAGTTAAGCAAAAGCTGGTAGGTTTTCACCACGATAGGTGTTTGAAAGATGGCTTTTTAGCACCTCTCAGTAATGACATTGATATTTTTAATAATAAATAAAAAAAACAGTGTAGCTGTAAGTATAAACTTGCATTTTTATTGGACATCGGCACATAAACAAAACTATGGCTGGATAATATGTACAATTTTTTCAAGATGTATCAATTACTCAGTTGCTGTAGCACAACTATTCAATCAGTTCTCCAAACACTCGTGTCTTTTCCATTGGGGCACTCGATGGCTTTGTACACAGACATTTCCATGAGTGTGTTAAAACAAGAAAATACATTTGTTTTAGAGTGAAATCAAAAACGGTTTCAAAATGAAAAGGTCAAAATAAACATTTAATCCACAAACCACTTAAAATATGCAAGAGCACATTTGCAACAATAAAATGTTAACATCCCCTTGTGATAGGAAACATTATAGCAGGATGACATGCAAAGCATACAACAAAATTCCAGCATTTCTCTGTGGTGTCTAACAATTTAGACAGTATGAAATGTAATTGCAGCAGAGATGATATTTAGCAATCAATAGCAACAAATCTCAGAAATTCACAAAACTAATTAGGATCACAAAACTAAGTGACCCTCTTTTACTACTAAGCCAGTGTGTTATTCAAAACTGGGCTGACAAGTTGAATACATGTGCCCAATATAATTACACAAACTGCCCTAGTTTTATAAAGCTTCTAGTTCAAAACCTCTTTAAATATTTTATATATAGACACATACTTTTTTATTTCAAAGACAGAATTCCTTTAACACAAGGAGCATTTAAAGAACAAACAAAAAAAGAGAAGATGGCTAAATAAGTTAAATAGAATTTTTTTTACAACGTTTAAGTGGATTGCAAATACAGTGTGGCTGGGTGCCATTACATTTCTTGAACTTTTTTTTAAACGGATCCCATTGTCTTTATTAACTGTTACTATGAACTCAGATTCACCAGCTAGCATGCATGAGAAAGCTCTTTAAAATGTGTTTAGGTCTATGTTTCCGCTCTATGATGTGGAACATAGAGGATACCAGTGAGTGCACTTTTAAAAACATTTCTTCATCTAGGGAGGCGTGCAACCTTGAAGATGTGCTATATTACTTACATTATTGTTTCCAGTGCTTTCTAAAAAGTGTCCTTATATACTAACAGATTGCTTGCTGTAGATGGCAGGGAGGGCAGAGCCAAATCAGGCACAGTTTATCACCATAAGCTGTGAGGGGTGACCATGTGAACAGCGATCTGCATGTATGTTCGGGTGGAAGATGTTCTCCTCTCCTGCGACTGGTCACTGAGAGGTACGTGTGTCCCTGGCTGGTTGCTCTCCAGACCCCGCTCACATTTCCGGCTGCTCAGCAGAGAGACTTGGCCGAGGCTCAGGTGACTCGTAGCGCTGATGGAAGTTCCGTTTCCGCAGTTTCTCGGGTGCCTTCCTCCACAAAACTATTTCCTACAAAAAAATACGAAGCATTCTATTCACCTTGCTGGACAAACAGACACTGAAAGTGTACAATTTTTATATGATAATTAAATGTATTTTATACTGTAAATTTGATTACTACTGTACCTGCTGTTTAAAGTATCTCCTATCTTCTTCATCCACAAGCACCAAGTTCAAAAAGTACCTCACAGAGAATTTCTTGTTTACATCTCTCATTGTGGCTGTAAGGTCATAACCAGCCAGGAAAAGGCGAATAGGAATGGATTCACCTAGAAATACATTTTAGACCAATAGGGAGGAAAAGTCAGTAATGAAACGGGCAATTTAGTTGATTCTACTTCAATAACCCTGCATTGAACTGAATGTGATGATTCATGCACGAAAGGTTTAACGAATGGTTTACACAGAAATTTGTTCTGTTCGTGATTCATGAATGAGGCCCATTATTTATGTTCTGGCATTAGTACTCTGTGTCTTCTGTAGAAGTAACCTTTTTAAAAGACTCCTCTACATTTATATCCTTACAAAATGATACCGAAAATGGTGTGGAGCAGCTGCTCACCTTTCACTGGTGCTCCATCCATAATCTCATATTTAGCCACAGTCTCGGTCTCAGTAGTTGTGCTCGGCCCTAGATAGGCATGTCACAGGATACAAGGTGAAAAGTTTATAAAAATAAATTACAAACATACTATTGTTCAAACGTTTGGGGGCACATTTAAAAAAAAAATGTTTATATTACATATTTTACTATGTTCTTAAAAATTTATATTTCAAATAAATCTTGCTCTTTTGAACTTTCTATTCATCAAAAAATACACCCTTGTTTCCACAAAAATATTAAGCAGCACAACTGTTTTCAACATTGATAAAAAAAAATAAATAAAATGTTTATTAAACACTAAATCAGGTGCTCCATCCATAATCTCATATTTAGCCACAGTCTCGGTCTCAGTAGTTGTGCTCGGCCCTAGATAGGCATGTCACAGGATACAAGGTGAAAAGTTTATAAAAATAAATTACAAACATACTATTGTTCAAACGTTTGGGGGCACTTTAAAAAAAATAAAAATTTTAATATTACATATTTTATTATGTTCTTAAAAATTTATATTTCACATAAATCTTGCTCTTTTTAACTTTCTATTCATCAAAAAATACACCCTTGTTTCCACAAAAATATTAAGCAGCACAACTGTTTTCAACATTGATAAAATAAATAAATAAAATGTTTATTAAACACTAAATCAGCATATTAGAATGATTTCTGATGGATCATGTGACACTGGCCACTGAAAATTCACAGGAATACATTACATTTGAAAACAGATTGAAACAGAAATATATATTTTTTTATTAAAATGTAATACTTAACAATATTACTGCTTTTATAGCACTGTTTTACTGTATTTAATGCAGCCTTGGTGAGCAAAAATGTTTCAAAGATTTTCAAAACATTTCCAACCCCAACCTTTTGAACAGTAGTGTATATAAAGAAATTGGTTTAAAATAAATAAAAAGCTAAAGAAACTGGACTACAATAAATGTTCTTTAATAATAACTTTTAACAGTCATTCTTAAATCATACGCACATATACGTGTATAAAACTTAACACGAAAGGAGATCATACCAATTCCCGTCATTTCTTTCTTGATCAACTGAAGCTCCATGTGTTGGATTTTAATCCGTACAAGTAAGAAGTAGATTTTACCCACAATTACATCTTTGAGGTGATACCTGGCAGGCAAGAAGACCTCGGTTAGCTCAAAATCAAACCAATCAATCCATACATACTCAGAATTACTCAGCAGCTCACTTCATGTAACTAGGATTAAATCAACAGTAAAGTTCTAAGTGCACTTACTTGGACTTATTGTATTCAAACTCTATATGCAGGCAGTCTTCAATGCCCACTTCCATTTTGATAGAGTTGTTGACATCAGGGTAGGAGGCCAGCTGATGCACAATGAGGTCATACTCCTTTACCAAATCAGACAGCCTCCTCACAATTGTAACTTTAAGGAAATACCTGCAGAGACGTGAAAAGCACATGTCCTTGTCTGACTTATGAAAAAAGATAAAACCGTTTAAATTAAAGCCAGGACAAATTTTAAAGGCTAACTGTGTGTTAAAGCAGCAGTCAAAAGACAAAATACTGTCATTTTTCTCATTAATGCTTAGCCAGGATAATTAAAAAAAAAACATTTACAAAGTCTTCACTAACCTCAATCGCACATTCGCTCCAACATAAGACTCGTATGGCTTTTCCACCTGCATGAACTCAAAGTCATAGCTGCGGTTCTGTGTCAGCTCTCCGGGCAGAGCAAGCTCCTTTACAAGGTTTACAAACTCATGAGTATTGCTTTTATCACTGAAGAGCTCTGCATGAAGGGAGACACACACACTTATGCAGTGGCTAGACAGAAAACAAAATACATTGCATGCAGCAATCTTCAGATCGCTGAGACAATCAGAATCACTAATGAGACCTAAAAATTCCAGTTTCAAGTAATTGCAAGTAACTAATTGAATTAAATGTGAAATTTTGTAGAAAAACAGAAATAGAATCTTTGTTTTATTTACAACTTTGAAAAATCATTTTTGGAGAGAGAGAGAGAGACAGGGTCACATCACAGTGGACTTAGCTGTCTTAACCATGGCTTGTGTACTGCAAACACATACCAGCTTCATCATTGTGTCTGTCACGCGACTCTGTTCCCCTTTCAGGCTTGAACTTTACATTTATTTTGAAAGATGAAGCTCACAATTATGGTAAGGGGCGTTACATTTCCGACGAGTGCTTGCGGTGTTCGGTCAATCACAATGCACTGGGTCAGCTGGCCAATCAGAGCAGACTGCGCTTGTCGGAAGGAGGGACTTTGTAGAAAACGAAGCGTTTGAGAGAGGCGGGGCATATATGACCTACAATAATGTACAGTATTTGAAAAATAATGTGTTTTTTGAACATGAAAGCATGTCAACATATTCTGTTACACCAAATACACAAAATAATAATCTTTAAAAAAGCATCATATGACCCCTTTAATAATGAATTCAACTGGGGCACCATAACAGATGCCTCCCTCACAGAAATGTGTAGAGTAGTCTAGCTCCCTTTCCATGTGACAACCACATGCTCTCCTAAGATCTCAGCACAGTAGAACAGCAATACTGAAGCTGGTTTACTGCATGAATGTCTTGAGAAAAGAGAATAAGTGAATGTGTTGAGTTAACTCACCGATCTGTCCTACAAACTCAATGCGAATTCCCTGATGTTCAAGCCTTTTGCCTGTTTGTTTCACATTGATATTTACCTTGGGGTGACATAACACAATGCGTGTCAGTTGTCTTTGAAATTAAGAGACTTTAGGAAAGGACTCACACAGGAAATGTCTACACGCTCACCTTTCCTGAAACTGATTCTCCATCATAAAACAAATAATGCTTCTCCAATTTCCCATCTTCAGTCTTCAGCTCGGCTGTTTTTCTGCTTTCAGCATCGTTCAGAATGACATCGATTTCACACACTGGGCCAAACAGACCTCCAAGGAAACTCTGAAAGAATGACAATGTTAATTCTATTTTTTTCAATTCACTTTGTTAACCATGTTTAAATGATTAAACAAATCATTTAATATTTACGTCTTTAGTCCCTGCTGAGTGATGGCTAAATTTAGGCTACATTTACATTCTACTCTGTGTATTTCTTTTATATTATTGTAGTCGTGATAAAAATGGAAGTCTGACATTTAGTAAAAACATATGTATGTATAATTTGCAAAAAGAACTATAACATGCATTTAGAAAACAGACAAGGTGAATTTTCATTTCATGACAACTTCATTTCACATACTTTGTATTTGGATCAAATATGAGACATCCCATTTTGGTGTCCGCACTGAATTAAATTTACAAAAGTGATTTTACAAACCTATAAAGCATAATAAATGCAAGTGGAGTGTCTACTTTAACATTTTAAATCACTTTTGTGAAAATAAAATGTCAAAATATGTGACAAATAATGTTCCATTGTCATTCTGTGTAACAGACATATTTACGTAACAATAAAGCAACATATTAATTCTGACCCGTGCTTATTAAACTATGTAAAAGAAAAAGTGAGCATACTAAATTGTACTATATTTTAAATGATTAGAAACTTTGTTTGAAGGAGTTTTGGTAGCTGCACTCACTGTGATCCTTAAATTATGTCATTTCTTTGAATGCCACCTAATGTTTCTTGTTCTAAAGATGCCTGACAAAATATTTTGGTATATGAACTGTTACACTGAATGGCATTTTAGTGGGTGTCTTCTGTAAATCACGGTAACAAAGTATGATTAAAAAAATTATTAAAGCTGAAAAGCAGAAAAAAATTAAAGCTTTATAAATCTGATACTTGAAAACCCATGTTCGTCTTTGTCCCACATCACATAGCTAGTTTAGATTCAATGTGAGAATATTGAAAATCTAGGTTTCCCCTAAAATTATGTTCAAAATTATGAACACTTTGACATAACTATTAGGGGTGACACAGTTGTGGTCCTACATCACAACAGCGACATTCCAAGTCTATCTGTTTAACGCAGTAATTTTACACATCAATTAACACATGTTGGTATTAGCTTAACTGTTCAGTCTGTCTCTATACAAATATAATCACATCTATAGAATAGCTAAATAAACTCTGCAAATACAAGTAAATGCCGACGCAGTGCAAAAACGTATCATGTGCACTGCTTTGCTCGATATCCATTCGGAGAGAGGAAGCGCTGTAGAAACATTTACCAGTCTGTGCAAAACGCTTAACTTACAAATAGCTTAATTTTAGTGAAAAACACCATGAACTAGATATCTAGTTTGGATTCAACCTTCAGCTTTACAGCTGTTTTTAAAGGTCCTGGAGGACTTGCGTGGATGTAAGTGTTTTTCAAACAAGCTCAGAATGTACAAACGCTCCATTAGAGCTCATTTGTAAGGCCACTAGAGTCCGGTTACTGTGTTTTATCAGTGTTTCTCGCTGACTGATAATGAGCAGCCTCCCCACCCAATCCTTCACGACTTCCATGGCCTACTTCGGACTGGATACACTGCAAACATGTTTGCCAGGATCGTGGGCTTTTATTCCAGAGGGAATAAGGCAAGCGGTGTATTAAGTGCAACAATTTCAACCATTAATTGCAGTCTGAATTAACGCTCACCATTTCAGCTCTGTAGCTTTAGCTTGAACAGTTCTCCTCAGTACAGCTTCCGCTGGATCCCTGTTCCTCTGAGCTGAACGGACTGGGACCGACGGGAACACAGCGAGTGAGCGCTGAAACATCAACCACACCACTGAACTTCAAAATAAAAGTTTTTTGTTTTGTTTGTTTGTTTACATTGTATGAGCATATTTTGTGTAAAGTAAACAATTATTATTATGTTTCACATAATTCTTTACATTTAGTTTACATATATTCATGTTATAATCTGACCCGTGCTTATTAAACTATGTAAAAGAAAAAGTGAGCATACTAAATTGTACTATATTTTAAATGATTAGAAACTTTGTTTGAAGGAGTTTTGGTAGCTGCACTCACTGTGATCCTTAAATTATGTCATTTCTTTGAATGCCACCTAATGTTTCTTGTTCTAAAGATGCCTGACAAAATATTTTGGTATATGAACTGTTACACTGAATGGCATTTTAGTGGGTGTCTTCTGTAAATCACGGTAACAAAGTATGATTAAAAAAATTATTAAAGCTGAAAAGCAGAAAAAAATTAAAGCTTTATAAATCTGATACTTGAAAACCCATGTTCGTCTTTGTCCCACATCACATAGCTAGTTTAGATTCAATGTGAGAATATTGAAAATCTAGGTTTCCCCTAAAATTATGTTCAAAATTATGAACACTTTGACATAACTATTAGGGGTGACACAGTTGTGGTCCTACATCACAACAGCGACATTCCAAGTCTATCTGTTTAACGCAGTAATTTTACACATCAATTAACACATGTTGGTATTAGCTTAACTGTTCAGTCTGTCTCTATACAAATATAATCACATCTATAGAATAGCTAAATAAACTCTGCCAATACAAGTAAATGCCGACGCAGTGCAAAAACGTATCATGTGCACTGCTTTGCTCGATATCCATTCGGAGAGAGGAAGCGCTGTAGAAACATTTACCAGTCTGTGCAAAACGCTTAACTTACAAATAGCTTCATTTTAGTGAAAAACACCATGAACTAGATATCTAGTTTGGATTCAACCTTCAGCTTTACAGCTGTTTTTAAAGGTCCTGGAGGACTTGCGTGGATGTAAGTGTTTTTCAAACAAGCTCAGAATGTACAAACGCTCCATTAGAGCTCATTTGTAAGGCCACTAGAGTCCGGTTACTGTGTTTTATCAGTGTTTCTCGCTGACTGATAATGAGCAGCCTCCCCACCCAATCCTTCACGACTTCCATGGCCTACTTCGGACTGGATACACTCTAGGACTAGGATCGTGGGCTTTTATTCCAGAGGGAATAAGGCAAGCGGTGTATTAAGTGCAACAATTTCAACCATTAATTGCAGTCTGAATTAACGCTCACCATTTCAGCTCTGTAGCTTTAGCTTGAACAGTTCTCCTCAGTACAGCTTCCGCTGGATCCCTGTTCCTCTGAGCTGAACGGACTGGGACCGACGGGAACACAGCGAGTGAGCGCTGAAACATCAACCACACCACTGAACTTCAAAATAAAAGTTTTTTGTTTTGTTTGTTTGTTTACATTGTATGAGCATATTTTGTGTAAAGTAAACAATTATTATTATGTTTCACATAATTCTTTACATTTAGTTTACATATATTCATGTTATAATATAAAAATGCTTAACTTAAAAAAAATTCTTTCAGGCATTATTTTGTACTCTATTTGTGTCTGGTTTGATTATTTCAATAACTGAATTATTACATTTATTAAGTACAATTTCTGATGGTCAGAACAGTTTTATGACAATTTTGTGTGCCACAATTTGTATTTGTGCCTTAATTACAATTAATTGAATTCAATGAATTTCATTCATTGTTTTGAGTTCTTTATACTTTTTTTTTTTTTTTACATTTTACTGTAAAGCCTTTAGTAGACTGTTGAATGGCATGTTACATTGTGACAACGTGCCCCACTGTTGGTCACAAAACAAAACTTTAAACCTGCTCCGAGAAACCTACATGTTTTCATGTTGCAAAGTATTATTTAAAAGCATGATTTTCTTTCTTTTGTATACAAATACAAATGTGTTAAAAAAATAATAATTTAATACACATTAAGGCCTAATTAAACTTGAACACTTATCCGAGCTTCTTCAAAATTATATTGGCAACAACAAAAAAAATGTCCCTTGAAGCTGTGAAATCACTTGTTACAACAACAGATGAAACGCTGCACAACACAAACTTCTTCTGATATCAGGCCAGGCCATTCAAATGAAGTGATGGTCATAGTTGAACAAAAAGGCCAGCCACACAACACTAATGGAGCTGCAGATCTCTTTAGCTGGAATAGAAGAAACTGGAGATACTGATCTGTTTGGTTCTTGAGAGAGTGGCTGCCACTTCTGATAAAGTCACATCTGGCGTTTGCTAGCTATGTGAAATGGCCCATGAAAGTCCAGCTTTGAATCCAGATGAAAATCTCCTTTTGCTTCTGAAAAGTTACAAGTGTTGAATCTAAAGCGAGGAAAATATTTGATTGTGTTGGTGTAACTTTGAAGGTAACAGAAACTAAATGTGGGTGTAAATGGTTTCTGAAGGCAGTGTGTCATCTTAACCACATGGCATACTTTTGAATTCCACATTTGCACCTTTTGAAAACAATTTTATAATGTTGCTCTACATACAGATTGATTCTAAATGTTATGTCTGTACTCTTCTAGATGCTGAGAAACCGATCATGAGATGTAAGTCCGGAAACGCACAAGACAGTGTGATAATACACTTCTGGTAAAACAGGAAGCCTGAACAGCTGACCTCATCTCATATTTAGAACATTTCTTCAATACAGTTCATTCCTCCTTTTTCTGGTGTAAAGTGCTTAAAATAACAGGCGAATGCTTTTTTTGAAAGTTCAGAATATATTACAAATACAATATGGCAAAAAATATTTGTACAAAATTTACTTCTTGCTATCCAAACAATTTATTTCAGTTGCCCCTGTTGAATTTAGTAATATTTCCATTCCAAATGGATTTAAATTATTGTTTTAATAAAGATCATAGGTCACACTGTGGACATTAAGAGTAAATAAACAAATAATAATATAAAAGTTTCAAAGTTGAAGAGCAAACAAAAATAGATCCTTACAATGCAAACTGGAATACAATAAACTTTTGCAGAGCATGTCACAGTTTAAGAATATATATTAATTATACCTGTGACCAAAAAAGCAGCATCCCGTATGGTTCACATTGTACAAAAAAATAAAAAGCACATGAGATCTAAGGTAACCCTTTATGCAATAATGTTTTCCTCTTTCAAATCCTCTTTAGAAAGCCAATCTATTTTTTGAGGTGCAACATATTCAGAGTAATCAATGTCTCCACTGAACTCAGTCGACCCCTCCTCTTCATTCTTGTTGACTTCTTGCTCTGGACTTCTTGCGTCTCTCATCAACTTCTGATCCATGCTGATAAAAGGAGCGAAGGCGTCTGAGTTACCTGAACCCTCTCCTGACTGCTCCTCCATCTCAGGAGTGGCTTCCTCTGTGCTAACTGGGAATCTGTTGGAAACAAAAGCACAAAGTCGTTCAAGAGCGCTCCAACATCCTCTCAGCCCTTCCTGTAATTTTGTTGAGAACATAAGGAGTCCATTTCTTAACCATCCTGACCTCCCCGCTCTAGACTTAAAAACAAACTGGAATATCTAAATAAAAAAACGCATATTCCTTGTGACAAGCACAATGTTTTAGAGTACCTACTTTAGTATAGGGAAGATATTGGGAAATGTAACAGTTAACCTCAAGAGTGAGTGAATAATAGGAGCATTAAAGGGACAGTTCACACACACACACACACACACACACACACACACACACACACACACACACACACACACACACACACACAAAAATACATTTCTCTCATTTATTCACCCTCAAGTTGATCCCAACCTGTATGACTTTCTTTCATCTGTTGAATAATATATTGTTCAATAGATGAACCTTCTTGAAGAAACCAAACAGTTGCTGGTAGCCATTGACTTCCACAGTATGGAGAAATTTTTTTTACTATGGAAGTCAATGAGGACCAGAAACTGTTTACCAACATTGTTGTTACCAACTGTTAACCAACCAGAAACTGGTTGCTAACATTCTTCAAAGTATCTTCTTGTGTGTTCAAAATCAATCAATCAATACCATTTAAAAAAATCATACAGGTTTTGAACAACATGAGCTTGAGTAAATGATGACAAAGTCTTCATTTTTGGGAGAACTCTCCGTTTAATTTACTGAGAAATATTCTATATTGTTTTCAGCATTCTAGTTATCTCATTAATCTGTGAGATATTATGTTTTCCGGCTATGAAGGTCATGAACATTTTGAGGAGATACAGCTGTGACGTCAATGTGATTGATGTGTGGAAGGAAGTGATTCGGCATGAGAAATGCTGAGTAGAAAAAGGCACAATCTGAAGATAAATTTGAAGTAATTAAAAAAACATTGATGTTACATTGATATCAATAAGACCATAATCACATATTGTTTGATTGGCAGAAATTATAAAACATTCGAGTGCTATATCTAGTGCCTTGTCTACTTATATAATACACAACAATTGTAGTTGTAAGAATGAGCACTAAAAATTTATATTTGACATTATAAAACCTTGGAGAAAACATCTCTAAAGCCTTACGGATATTTATATTTCCAAGAAAAGACATAGTCTAAACTACTTTGAGCAGAAATAATCTGCACTGCCAGGAAAACGATAACAGAGATTTGAATCATGTGGTAAGGCTTCACAATCAATATGTCACGACATAAGAGTGACTTGGGAAATGCCCCTGACGTTCAACAACTTCAGCATATTTTGTTAAAAAAGATTCTTTTCTAACCGCCTTTTTCTATATGATACTTAATAAGGAAGCAGTCAGTTCTTCCTGTAGGTAGAAAAAAGTCTCTCACAACACTTTCTGTTTTACAGACCCATTTGTTTACTTGCTGGCTGCTACTTTAACATTGATAGCATCTCTGATGGGTTTCTTTAAAAGCCCTATACAGATATTGAAATTATTACAATATCGATGGATGATTAAACTGTAACACAACTCCTGAGGTCCCTTCCTTAATCATGATTATTTGTTGTTTTTTTTACTAATAATCATATTCCGGTATGACAGCAGGTATAGTGGTGATATAATTTTTGTTGTGTTATTAAAACTGAATCTAAATCTAATCAAATGATACTATTCATTTGTAGTAGTGACATGCATGCATCCTGTTAGTTTTGACTAGATATAAACACACACATCAAAGAAATAACTGAACAGATTCTGCTTTTAAAATGAACACTACATACCATAATACAGTACTAATTCTCAATAAAAATGGATATGAATAAAAAGGCAACTTACATGTGTTTTGCAGCAGAAGGTGGAAGTCGAGAGCTTTGTCCTGATAGGGGCACCAGGGGGCCCTTTTGTGTGACACAGTTTGCGTACTTATCCTCCGGCTTGCATTTCACCCACATATACCTGCCTTTGGATGGGGCTCCTGTGTTCAGGGATAATACAGAATGACAGATGAGAGGTCTGTCAGACATTACCACCATCCTCAAACTCCTCGGGAATTATAAAAAAAAAATGACCTGGCCAGATTTCCTAAATAGGCTATCTTCTGTGTTTTTATGATGTTTTTTTTTTGTTTGTTTTTTTGAAAGCACAAATTGTATTTATTAAATAGATTTCATGTGGGGTTTTTGTTTTCATTTATTATGTAGGCTAGCTAGGCCTAGCCTATATCTTATGTGTTATTTATTTATTGTTTGTGTATTTTTTATTGTGTATTATATGAATTTCGCAGACGAATATCGTGGTATATGACATTTTTTCATTTCATGACATTTAAAACCCTTTCGTGCACTACTATCCAGCGACGTCGCAACACCGCTACTGAATGTACTGCACGAAGTGATCAGTGTAGTCTGATTCCCAAACTAACGACTCTAAGGAGTTCTTTTTAGTGACTCAAACCCATGCTTCACGTTGCAGGGTAGTCCGAACGAATAATTCTAACGAGCCGGTTCTTTGTAGTGAATCAAACCCACATATCTCGACCAATAGGCCTATATCTTCTATTGAAATAAAATGTTCTAATCAGCAACAGGCTTATGTGTAATAAGAATCAATTCATATTTCCGATAGCCTAAATTCATTATGATTATAGCCTACTATTTATTATAAAACAATTATTATAATTAAGCTTCTAATTAATGGCATTATTGATATAGTTAATTAATTTAAGTAAATAGCCTATTCAGACTGGTCCCCCCCCCCCCTTTTAAATTGACAAATTAAAAGCGCAAAAATAAGGTCAAGTAAAATGTCAAGCTTAACGTTAATTGTGTAGGCTACGTAACAGAGCTGAATGTATAGATTTTTCCCCCCAGTAGCCTATAATCATGGATGATTTGACAGTCAACTACCAGTGTTGAAAGTTAGGCTACTTAATTGCATTTTGTTATATATTGTATAATAATTTATTTTGATCTTTACGTGAAGACACGCAGGTTCTGAAACCTAGAAACACTTTCCGTAACAGACCATTAAGTTTATCATCTATTTTTAACATCTGATCTTAAAATGCCAAAATAAACTTACCCAGTCCTCTGTCCCCAAAAAGGCATATTATTGCCAGTGCCAAAGTTATTCTGTGGTAAAATCTCATTCTGTCGTCCCTGTCAAGCAGAAGATGCGAAAGAAAATGTCTTCAGATGAACATCAGACAAGAACTTTTCCCAGTTCAGTGCTAGCTATGCAACAGACCCTGCCCCTGTGTGCGTCAGTTTCCTGAAAGCAGCCTACAGCAGCTCGGTTTGGCAAGGTTTCTCAACACTCAATCCTAAAAAACACCTTGAGTATTAGCCTACCAATACACAACCCGAATCCAACCGTCGTTTTAAAAATACACAGCATGAATGGCGGAACAAGTCAGCTTAAAACTAAACAAAAATATACCAATTAAAGTGAAAACTCAAAGCTAGACCTTGGCTAAAAGTGAGTGTCAAGAAAGGCTAGTGCTCTACTAGACAATAACATTCATTTGAAAGTTTTAGCTATAACATAAGTCATTTATAAGGTCCATGTTTATTGGTTAATTCTTTAAAAAGTGAAATTCAGTGATTTTTTAGAAAAAACGTGTACTCCATTATAAATCACTATTGTGTCAGGTGCAGACTTGAGCAACAAATGCTGCAAACATTCTGCTGAAACATCCTGAAAGCCATTGCCCCATACCAGTTTCTATAAAAAATCTTTTCATACCAGCCTCACAGTATTTACATTTTGTTGTTGTAACTTGTCTGAGATGGTGAGCAATATTAACACTCAGCCTATGATTAATGAGGACAAATTCTGCAGAATCACCCATAAATTTACAGTATATCAGGTTATTTCCAGAACGAAGACGTAACTCTTCTGTGGGAATGGGTTGATGTCACTCCCACTAGATTATATCAAATAACACGAATGTGAAATTCTACAGTACAAATAACACGAATGTGAAATTCTACAGTACAAATAACACGAATGTGAAATTCTACAGTACAAATAACACACAACAATGGCATTTTTAACAAACACAAAGAGTTTCTGCATGCAGATGTACTGTATATGTTTTTAAATTAATGAGTTTACTACTCAATGTGTATTACTTGTAATGTGTATTACTATCCACGTTGATAAATGAACGACTGCCAAGAAATGCTATATGCATAACACATTATGTTTGTCTTTTGAAGTGAGATGAATATTTAATATGTTGCTATAAACATGCACACATGAATACATTTTTTATGTAAAACAGTAAAATATAGTGGAGCAGTGTTGCGCACAGTTGATACAAAGCTGTCATAACTTGCAGGAAGTGGTTTTGCACACACAGGAAATGACAAGGTTTCTCCTTTTATTAGCACATAGCATGGCAAGACAGAGAGGAATTCTACAGTACAAATAACACGAATGTGAAATTCTACAGTACAAATAACACGAATGTGAAATTCTACAGTACAAATAACACGAATGTGAAATTCTACAGTACAAATAACACGAATGTGAAATTCTACAGTACAAATAACACGAATGTGAAATTCTACAGTACAAATAACACACAACAATGGCATTTTTAACAAACACAAAGAGTTTCTGCATGCAGATGTACTGTATATGTTTTTAAATTAATGAGTTTACTACTCAATGTGTATTACTTGTAATGTGTATTACTATCCACGTTGATAAATGAACGACTGCCAATAAATGCTATATGCATAACACATTATGTTTGTCTTTTGAAGTGAGATGAATATTTAATATGTTGCTATAAACATGCACATATGAATACATTTTTTATGTAAAACAGTAAAATATAGTGGAGCAGTGTTGCGCACAGTTGATACAAAGCTGTCATAACTTGCAGGAAGTGGTTTTGCACACACAGGAAATGACAAGGTTTCTCCTTTTATTTGCACATAGCATGGCAAGACAGAGAGGAGTTTTCCATTACATGCATAAGCAAAAGGAAATTCTGTCTTGCGGATTATTCTAAGTATTACAAGTGCTGTCTGCTGGGGAGTTTATGTTTCTGTTAACATTGCTAATTTGACCATACTGTAGCAACCAGACTAATCACTTTTTTGGACAATTTTTAAGTATGATTACTTTAAGAAGACAATTTTGGGTTTAATGCACAGCATTAAATATAATGTAGGCATATAGAAATGACCTGACAACTGATTCAGATAAAAAAGGAGTCCTAAAACTCAAAGACACAGTTGTACATGAAGATGTCTCAAAATGTTTCTAAACAATCTTCATGTTTTAAATGGCACTGAGATGGAATGTACACTGAGTTTGGTGTTTGTCAAACTATATACTTAACTCTTGGCTAAGGTCGGCGTCTGAATTTTGTTTGTCTCTCAGGCTGAAGATGATCGTCTCAAACACACAGACATAGGACATTTACTCATATTTCAAGTATAATGATCAGATGCTGTATCTCAAGAACAGGAGCGTGTAATTTCGGTTTGGTAGAGCTTCCTCTGAGATAGTCATATTTGCTCCTTGCAGAGACTTGACTATAACACGTAATGCTATTTCCTCTGGGAAAAAACCTGCACTCTCTGCATTTTCTCTTCTTTACAGTTACTCTGATGACAGCATCCTGTGTATTTATTTCTTTGTCTATAGCAAGCACGCAAGAGGTTTCCTGATTTGACTCTAACCTAAAACTGATCACACTGAAACCGAAACGATTATTACAAAACCATTGAGTTTTACTGGATTATAATTTATGAAGCTGAGAGTAAAAATGAGCTCAATAAGCAAATTTAAACCGCAGCAAGACTCTTATTACAGACTCTAGCTGATATCAAATTTTATGTTCGAGTAAAACGTGGCATACAACCATACAACTATAGTCCTCATATTTATTTTGGTATTAGTTGTTTATCACATGAATGTACAACAGATAATCCTATAACATAACAATAAAGAGAAGCACCAGAATGGTATTACTGAAATATTTAGAGAAGGAAATGCAGTAAGTTTGGTGTATTCAACTGTCTGTTGAAAACAGCCGTTAGTTGCACAGTTCACTCTGTGAAATCAGCTCATATTATAAATGCTGTTCTAATCTGTGATCCATCTTGTACAATATGAACCACATCCTTTGCGAAGAAAGAATGTACATCAAGCTTGCTGCTTAAATGTTCTTGATGCTACATTAACTCAATTAAATAAAATGAACATGACAGGCACTGTACTCTCTGGTACTTTCCTCTTTGCACTCAGCCAGTATAATGGCTGCACACTTGTGTGTAAATGGGAATTTTACATCAGAACAGATTTGGAGAAATTAAGCATTACATCACTTCCTCTGCAGTGAACGGGTGCCATCAGAATAAGAGTCCAAATTTTAAACCTACATGTATGAATTTTAATGTGCTGTAAGACAAAAGGAAAGCAGGAAAATACTTTATTTGAGGACATTAGGATTTAAAAAAAAACTTTAATAAGTTTTTTATTTTAATACTTTTTAAAGTGTAATTTATTCATGTCATGTCAAAGCTGAATTTTCAGTAGCGATTAAGTCAGTTTTCAGTCACATGGTCCTTTAGAAATCATTCTACTATGATGATTTCCTGCTCAAGAAACATTTTTCATCAAGTTGATTAATATTTGTTTGTGGAAACCATTTTTTCCCCCAGGATTCTTCTTTTGAAAATTTTCAAAAGAACAGCATTTATTTGCAATAGTAATATTTTGTAACATTATAAATGTCTTTACTGTTAATCAATTTAATGCATCTTTGCTCAATAAAAGTATTAATATCTTTTAAAAAAATCATACTGACCCCAGACTTTTTAATGGTAGTTTATATTAAACGTTGACTCTGCATTTGTAAATTCCATTAGTCTCATGCTTCAAATGCAGCATAATAACACTTTTCTAGATCTTTCAAAGATGTTTAGTAGGTATAACCTTTTTGTATAGTCTCTACAGGTTCTGTATCATTGGCCAAAGTTGTACAAACCACAGTTTGTTGGTTTGTACAACCTCAGGATCTGATGAAATGCAAAACAACCGACAAGCATGAGTGTTACAATAACAGACAGATAGTGTTGAATGCCATTGTTTCAGTACTATTATAATCAAATACAGTATTATTACAGTGAAAGTTTCACCAGAAGCAACATACAAGAATGAACACCACACAGAAACCCACTTTCTTTGGCAGCTGCTTCTGAGGGGATTTCTCCTGCAAGAGTAGCAATTACACTAGCCGCAGCCAAACAGTGACGAGCCTCCATGTACCGTGTCTGTGATACAATGACAACAGAGACAAAGTTTATTACTATGACCTTGACTACAGAATCATGGAGGTTATGAATAGGGATGTCCCGAGCCAATCTCAAGGATTGGGATCGGCCGATTAAGCATTTTTTAAAACTGATCGTATTGGCTATCCTAAGCTTGATCCTTATATTACATCAGCTGTCATGCCAGTGTTGTGCAGTTGGCGGCAGTATGCACCTTCCAGTAGGTTCGCTATTTACAAAAAAGAAAAGACGCTGTGGAACACACACTACATACACTTCATACCTTGGTGATGTAGTACTGTGACAGTGTGGCTGCATTAATAGCCCACTCGAGCGGCACAAACTGCTTGTACTCCAGCTGTCTCTGTAGTGTACTGTGACAGTACTGTCCAGCTCTCTCATACTGCTGCAGATTCTTGTACACTTGAGCCAGATAATACAGTGTGTGCGTATATGCCATTTCAAACCTGCTGACACATATGGGGAAAAAGTGGGGTTAAAACATTCGTAGAAGCACAATAACGTTTTATATAGAGGCTCATAGGGACGGATATTACCTTCTTATTTTCTCTTGTTGGGATAATTCTTCTCCCTCTAGCACGAAAAAGTCTTGAAGATCCAGTGGTGGTTGTCCATCCTGACATGCATAAAGGAAACAAATGTCAGCCCAAAACATTATCATCATCATGTATGTGCAACTGTATGTAGTTTTACGTATTTTTGTGACTTTTTGGAGCCCCTACAGTTAAAGGGTTAATTCACCCAAAAATGAAAATTCTGTCATTAATTACTCACCCTAATGTCGTTCCAAACCCCTAAGACCTTCGTTCAACTTCAGAACACAAATTAAGATATTTTTTGATGAACTCTGAGAGCTCTCTGACCCTGCATAGACAGCAATGCAACTGAAATGTTCCCAGACTCAGAACCGTAGTAAGGACATTGGTAAAACATTAATAGAAGAAAACATTCTTCTATTAACGGAGTTAACGTCTTCCGCCATTTTGGAGAGTACCACGACGTAAACACATAATCACATGATATCAGATTTAAAAAAAAAACATTTTAGAAGAGAACGCAACATCACGGTTGTCTGAACCAATGCGCATTAAGCTGTGTCGTCAGCCAGTCGTTTCCCATCATGCTTTTGATCAGCGCAGTCCGTGGAGAGCAACTGCGCAGTCCGACACAGCCGCCTCGCCGCTGCAAAAGTTTTTTGGTACACGTCAGCATGACATCAGAGCAAGTCGGACGTAACTCGGACACTTTTCTAACCAGCATGCATTTCATGGTGATCACCGGTGGTGATCGGTTCTGCTCAGATTTTGCTCATCTCAAACAAGCCTATTCTTGTCTACATCTGCTTCAGCGGTGAAACAATGGTGGACTGATGAGAGCTCACAGAGGACGGGTCTAAGCTAAGACTCCAGTCCAGTCTGTGCTGAAACGCTACTGTCAATCAAACTATCGGGGGATGGGCCTGTCAGTGTGACGTCACACAGACAGGCATCTGAGATTGGCTCGATTTGAGAAAGGGGAAATGATTTAACAAGATAAAAAAAAAAAAACATCGTGGGATGGGCCTGTCAGTGTGACGTCACACAGACAGGCATCTGAGATTGGCTCGATTTGAGAAAGGGGAAATGATTTAACAAGATAAAAAAAAAAAACATTGGGTGGATCTTTATCATTAAAGGGTGGTTGTGTACACACACTGCCAACACACATTTCAGTTCAAACATCTTGTAAAAGTGCATGTTGCATCCAGTGACCCTTCTGAATAAATTGTTATTTTTGTGTTCTTTGCGCACAAAAAGTATTCTTTAGCTTTGCAAAACTGAAGTTCAACCACTGATGTCACATGGACTGTTTTACCGATGTCTTTACTACGTTTCTGGGTCTGGGAACATTTCAGTTGCATTGCTGTCTTATGCATGGTCAGAGAGCTCTCAGAGTTCATCAAAAATATCTTAATTTGTGTTCTGAAGATGAACAAAGGTCTTACATGTTTGAAACGACATGAGGGTGAGTAACTAATGACAGCATTTTCATTTTTGGGTGAACTAACCCTTTAAGTGTGAAATACACCACTGGTGTCTAGCTGTCAAAGGGCCTGTCGCCCGTACCAGTACCAGTAAGAAACAGCTTATGAAACCTGTCCCATTCGTCTTATTAGAAATCAGCGTACCATCAAAAGGATTTAGAAATTACTGCCAAGGTAAAAAAAAAACTTCAATAAAAGCTATTTTTTATAAAAACTTAAAAGATGTTGCACACTTAATACACAAAAATAATCTTATACAATTCCTAAACTGGACGGTAGAGTACATAGTGTACAGTGCGTCATTTGGGACACTACTCTTGTTTTAAGCAAGCTTCAGGTTATGCTACAATACTGAGGAGACGTCACAGCGACGACATGCGGAACTCATTATATGATGGCCAAAATGCCGTTGTTTAGGGAAGTAAGTTCACTAGGGTTTGAGACAAAACGTGCCACACACACCTCTCTCATGTAGAGCAAATACATAGATTCGGCGATTTCCAGAAATCCTTGTGCTTTTTCGATCTCATCTCTTCCCGCCCACAAAATGCCGAGCTGATTCTGTCAAAAAACACAATACGTAACGTTACAATCACACAGCACAGCGCAGAAGTCAACCACCAACAGTGCAACACTGCACATTTATTAAACTACACGAAGCTTTTAGGAGGAAGGGCTCGTGTATGCAGTGTATATTTACCCGGGCCTGTATGAATAACGAGACGTTCTCCCGTGTTGTTGTGCACTTGTCGATGAGTTTCATGCAGTTCATCAGGTGCTGCTCTCCAGCTGACAGCTCCTCGGTCTCTATGTGGTTCACGCCGAGATAGTACTGCACCACCGCGAGCCTGGCCGCTCGCAGCCCGGCGGGAGAGTCTCCGGAACACGATTTCCCACATTCACCATTCTCCGGTTCTTCATCCACCATCTGCCTGCACTTACAGTCTGCTTCATTGTCAGCCTCGCCCTCCTCCTCCACGATTAGAATTTTTTTCAGTGAACAGTGGATTTCCTTCAGCAGATCTCTAGCTTTGTATTTCGATCGGAAAGGGTTGTTCTCAGGGTCTTTTCTCGACTCTACTTCGGAGAGCTCCTGGGCCAGGCGAAATTTCTCGCACAGGGTCCTCCACTCTGAGCTCTGGTTGGCAGCCATGTTTTTTTCGAGGTATGACAAGTGTTCACCAGCAGAGGTCAGTCAACGGCGCACAGGTTCTACTTTTAATGAACGAATACATTTACATATTTATAATAAACATTTTATTAAAAATAAATATTTATTTAATATCACAATTATTCGGTTGTTATGTTGCTAGCTATCATATTTTATCATTAGCCTCTGATATGGCTTCTTATGGCATTGCCTTTGATCAGTCACTGTCCCTTTCTCCCGTCCAGATACTCTGGCGCCATCTACAGGCCAAGCAGTGTATTTCACAGACATAAGCAGGCTTCTTGCACGTTGAGTTGACGGATATGACAGTTCAATCATTTTTTTAATACACTGGGCCTGTCCCAAAACCAACATTTGTGGTCTTTGAACCTGACCACTCACCGTATTTCCTGTGTTTGACCCATATGTTCAAAATTAAAATGCGTTTTTACAGAGCTTTATTTACACATTTTGATTTTTCAATACTTTTACGCTTTAAAATAAACTCGTAGTCCCTATTGTAAAAGACAACACAAGTTAACTGTGGTGCTTCTAATTAAATGATAAAAAAACAGTTGCACATGTTTTATAGCCTAACATACACATTCATATCTCCACACTAGCAAAATGTGCAACACTTTATGTTTCACTGCCTAATTATATGTAAAATTGTACAATAATATATTAAAGCAATGATATATCCCTACTGGCTGATTTTAGGTAAGACATAAAATGTTTTAACTAATAAATAAATTAGCATGCTTTCTCAGTTGATAAATCACAGACAATTGTATTACATGTTTTCTGAAATATTATATTTAAAATGGCAAATAAGGCATTATCAAAGTGAATTTGCTCTTATTTCCATACATTTCCAGAATAGAAGTTCAAATGTTATATAAACCAGGCAAATAATATATGAATACACCTCTCTGTCAAAACCTTCAGAATATAGAAAGGAACCAAACTGCAAAGTTGTATGCAAATGCTACTGAAGTGAAGATTTCTGATTTTGAGAAAATGGCCGTGAACTTTACAGGAACAAATAGATACAATAAGTAAAATAAAATAAACATTTTCTTTCTGATCTGAAAGAGATTTTGGAAGCAAAATAGCCCAAAATGTAAAATTTGAACAGCGCATGAAAAAAAATGTATCGTTTGTATGTATGTGTCTTGCCTAAAAATTATACAGGCCAAGCAGTGTATTTCACAGACATAAGCAGGCTTCTTGCACGTTGAGTTGACGGATATGACAGTTCAATCATTTTTTTAATACACTGGGCCTGTCCCAAAACCAACATTTGTGGTCTTTGAACCTGACCACTCACCGTATTTCCTGTGTTTGACCCATATGTTCAAAATTAAAATGCGTTTTTACAGAGCTTTATTTACACATTTTGATTTTTCAATACTTTTACGCTTTAAAATAAACTCGTAGTCCCTATTGTAAAAGACAACACAAGTTAACTGTGGTGCTTCTAATTAAATGATAAAAAAACAGTTGCACATGTTTTATAGCCTAACATACACATTCATATCTCCACACTAGCAAAATGTGCAACACTTTATGTTTCACTGCCTAATTATATGTAAAATTGTACAATAATATATTAAAGCAATGATATATCCCTACTGGCTGATTTTAGGTAAGACATAAAATGTTTTAACTAATAGATATATTAGCATGCTTTCTCAGTTGATAAATCACAGACAATTGTATTACATGTTTTCTGAAATATTATATTTAAAATGGCAAATGAGGCATTATCAAAGTGAATTTGCTCTTATTTCCATACATTTCCAGAATAGAAGTTCAAATGTTATATAAACCAGGCAAATAATATATGAATACACCTCTCTGTCAAAACCTTCAGAATATAGAAAGGAACCAAACTGCAAAGTTGTATACAAATGCTACTGAAGTGAAGATTTCTGATTTTGAGAAAATGGCCGTGAACTTTACAGGAACAAATAGATACAATAAGTAAAATAAAATAAACATTTTCTTTCTGATCTGAAAGAGATTTTGGAAGCAAAATAGCCCAAAATGTAAAATTTGAACAGAGCATGAAAAAAAAATGTATCGTCTGTATGTATGTGTCTTGCCTAAAAATGATTTTTTTTTGGTCTTTTAGTCTGTCCATACTGGTGTGTAGGTGGTTTATCTCACTCTCATCAGTTGGAAGGTAAATTATGGTTTGAATTATGGAGTATGACCCACTTTCTCAAGGCCTGAACCTCCACAAAATGTCAAAACGATGGGTGGGTGGTACACCTTTTTACATTTTTCATGTAAACATTTAAACAGTGTTTCAAAAGATGTTTTAGTAACCGAAAAAGTTAGATTACAAGCTGATAAAGATGAGCCTACATAGTATCTTGGCGCTAAGAAAAATTAATGAAAAAATAGTAAAATGTCAACAATTCTGCCTTTTGCCTATGTGGTTGACACTTTTTGGATATATGGCTTGTTAGCCAACAAACACCAAATTGCAGCTGGGGTTTGCTGGATTAGTACCTTATTGGTGTTTATTAGGATAAAGTGAAAATGACATTTATGTTTCCCAACATTATATATCGAACAGTTAAGTCTCTCGACTTGCTGATGTTTAGATATGTTAATTCAAATGCCCACTGTCCATTTAAGAACATCCTTCCCATGTGGTCTCTACAAAGTGACACTTTTTTTCTTACATCTTACATCCACAGTATGATTCTTGTTTTACATCACGATCTAAAGAAGAAGTTCATGATTGTTCTCTTGAGGGTACAACAGAGCAGAGAATAAAACCTTATAGGGTGAGTAACATTTGCAAGGGTTTTTGGTCATTTACCAAAACTCATAGAAATATTGTTTGTAGTCATAGAAATCATTATAGAAATGTTACCGCCTTGCATATTTAAAATGTAGATACTGTGTGTCCTAATTTATCTCCATTTTATTCTCACAATTAATGTTTGTTTCACTTCAACATTTTGCTGTAACCTGACTCAAATGTACCTGAAACGCTGCAAAGGCTGCAATGTTTTAGTTCCTCCTTTTAGTTAATAGTGGGTAGAATAATGGCATTAATAGCAAGCTTTTAAAAAAGGACTTTAATAGTTTTGCATTGTTTCTGCATTTGCCCATACAGAGTTAAATAAAGGCCCGTTAGAAAAGCAGTATAGTTTCACTGTTATTATCAGCTAGCAAACAGTGTTCATTTTTAGGGCTCAGAATCATCTAGTAAAATAATAATCTAAAATGGGGGGTTTAAACTGCACTGTAAAAAAAAATTGTTTTTAAAATATTGTATATTTTATTAACTGAAATAATGTTAATATACCTAATTACGAAAATCTGTTTTGTATATTTAACATATGCTGATAAACACCGTAATAACACAGGTGGTAAAGAGAAAGCCACATGATTAATCAAAGTTCATCACCAGTAGTTGAGGTAAATCCTAATATATATATATATATAGAAGGTACAAGGAGTTATATGCACAAAATGAAAAACATCATAAAAGTAACACAAGAAAAAATGCAATACACAATAATGAAACAATATAACATGTACATAACTGATAAGAAACGTCTAAGAAACAGCTATTTTAATGAAAAACCATCAAATGTGAGGTGTCACACAGAAATCTGGGGAATGTCAGCTATATTTAACAGTATTTTACTGTTTTGACTTTAACATTTGTACAATATTTAACAGTCTACATTTATTTATTTGTGTATTTTTCATTTGATTAATTTATTTTACAGTGTGGGGTTGAAATGAAATGAAATGAAACACTGTTATGAATCATGAGAATGAATCCAGTGGTAAACCTTTAGTTACTATGCTGTACGCAAAGTTTGTGAATTGTCTGAGTGTGCTGGCTGTTTTACATATAAGTTACATTATAGTTTTACTTAACTTCTGTTTTTACCTGGTCTGGGAAATTTTCTGTCTGTTTTACAGGGTCACAACAGCCTACAGCAGCTCTGTCTGTGTGAGTTTAAGCAGTTGCAGTGTATTTTAGGAAGTGACGCTACCACCCACCATCAGGAAATGGACTGTTTCTTTTAGTAGATGTAAGTCATGAGCTGAAGGCAAATTGGTTTTATACCACAGTCACATACGCAGTGTATTTTCATCAGAAGCTATAGACCGAGAACGGAGGCTAACGGAAAGCCACTGTGGGAAGGTGCAGCCACTATACACCACCTGAAGCAAGGCACTATATATTACGACCTGGGAGTCTTATCACAAGAAACAAGGTGAGTCATTTTTAAATAAACATCTCATTTATTGCCGTTAAAATGTTACGCTTGAACAAACAAAATCTTCTTGGTTTTTTGTTCTTTGGTTAAGAACTGTAGTTTTGAATTCATTTGAGAATTTAAATAGATTACTGACATAAAAATGTCGTATTTTTTGTTTTTGAAAATGATAGAGATGACATGATGCAAAATAATAATTTAGCTGAAAGCGATAAGGAAGTTGAAAAAAAATCTTCCTGTATTTTTGCTTTAACATTCATTGACTTTGCGGGAAACAATAATAAAAAGATAACTCTGCATATGATATAAAGTTGCTTAATTGCATTTCCTTTCAGAGAATGAGTTTCTGTTTATATCTACTTGAAGTGTGTGGAACTCAATTCAGTCGATTGTGTTCAGAGGGGTACTGTTGATGTACTGTAGTAGTTTCATGAAAAGTGAATTCTCCTCTGACAGGTTACATCACAAACAGGACAGTCACACAAATGTGTAGATAGCATAAAATGTGAAATTTGTTGTTAATCATTTGAGTGACATACTAAACAGGCTTTGCACTGAAATGTATCTTTAACCGTATTTGATGACTACTGTACTGATGATGTGGGTCATAGAAGATGTTTCATCATAGTTAGCAAGCTTGATTCATAAAATTCCATTGGTAAGTTCTTCATTCATATGTGTTTTCAAATTTTATTTGTACACAGACACTATGTCAGAGTGCCATTTATAGAGCATTTTAGGAGACAAAAGATGACTAATTACAGTGT